TTTCTTGCTAGACAAACCCCTCTCCACTTCCCAAATGGCACAAAGGATTCATTCCACACTGTTCAGAGGCTGAAAGTGAAAGTGACTGTTTTCAAAAAGGTCAAGAAAAAGCACTTGCCCATTTTCAAATTCCTCTGAAACCTTTTCCTGTGAACATTACCACTGAAGGAATGTCGCTCCAGGCTGACATGGTGCTGCCTTTTGACATCTCTTCTCCGAGAATGTTTTGTCAAATGTGCCCACAAGAGGCTGCATTCAGAGGTTATTTCCAGTCAGTCTTTGAAATGCATTTCGACTGATTTTTTAAAAAAGATTTATTGATGTATGCATATAAGAACTGGGGTGCAGGCCAAAGGTGCAGGGAGTGAGGATTCACCAGAGACAGAGTAGGGAGCAGAACAGGCAGATCTACTGAAATACACTGCTGAGGGGAGCAGGTGCAACGGATGCCTGCTGCACCATGTGGGTCTGAACTCTTGCATTCAGATGAAGAGAATGACCCCCTGATCAGGGGTTGGGGTCCTGCATCAGCCCCTCTGTGCTTGGCTGCAGCCATCAGCCAATAATACAAAAGTGGGCTGCTTTTCTCAGGGTCACCTGCCTATCCTGCCCACATTAGAACTGAAAACATGGCATTCAGATATGAGGGTGATGTTTCTTACAGCAGTCAAAGAACTACTGCCTAGCAACGGGTTACCCCATGGGCCACCAGGCCCACCTGGGGGATACAGCCATCTTCTGTACCTGTGCAGACGCCCCACTGGGTGGCACTTGCAGACACCTATCTCACATGTGCTCAGCACCCCAACACTGAAGGAGTGGGTCTGATTGCTTCGGGGACAGCATTGTCCTCAGCGCCCCCCGCATTTCTATTTCCGCTTGGACCTCAGGCAGGGAGAACTTGTGGGCCTGGAGCACGTAAAAAGCTTCACCCCAGAAGTTATGTCTGGACAAATGAGAGCCAGGAGCAGTGTCATTGGCTCTTGCCTGGCAGCTTAGTTTCACACAACAGGTCTATTGAAAGCTGCCAGGTTCCCGACAGGGCCCTCCCAGCATGAGTCTCAGTCTAGGTGCCTGAACAGGTCCCCTGCCTTGGACACAGTTGAGACTCCCCGCTCCCTTCTTGTCCCAAGTCTCCTGCAACAAATACAATTGCACTTCCTTACCTGCATATGACGACTTGCCGAGTCAAAGCTCTCCTGGAGACACTCACGTGCCTGCCATGGTGACCTGGGTGCCGCCACAGGCGTAGCAGCAGGCTTGATGGGAAGAGGTGTTTTGCCCAATGTTACATCACCGGTTTTGGAAAAGCTGAAACTTGGCCAAAGAATGTTGTCTATGTGCTCTCCAGAACAGCACAGAGCAAATATATGATCACTTGAGAGCTGAATGCAATACTTGAGACAAGTGTGACTGCAGGCTGGCCATGCTTGCCCAGAAGCCTGGGGCACCCCAGCCCACGCGTGCTTCCTTTAGTTGGGGATTGCTGCCAAACCGCAAGTTTTCAGACTCACACACTGGGGGTGTGGCAGGAGAGGATTGGTTTAGGGGAGCAGAGCAGCAAGGCCACACCCTGCCCATGATTAACTGTATCTTCACAGATCCGGTGCACAGCTAATGGCCACTTCAACAAACTCTGGTCCCTTGGGGTTACAGTGATTCCACGTGAGAGCTCTGAATAGATTCCTGCTCTCCTCCAGTCTCTGAAACTATAAACTGACAAACTTGTTTCCCAGGGCTTCTGACTGGCAGTGAAAACGCAGGTAAAGTGCCGGTTTAGAAGAAGCACTGAACAGGCGTCACCGTGGCACCGGCTTCTGTGTCATCCGGCCACCAGATGGACACATTTTCAGTCTTTCCCAGTTGCAGAACATTACTGAACCAATCAAGGCAACAAAGCTGACACACCTGAATCAATAGCTGCGGGTCGTACCAACGGGCTGACAGGTCAACCCACACAGGTGCAATCCCCAGCTCCACCACCAGTCTCGGGTCCTGACTGCGGTGTCCTGCCGGGCCAGGCGTGGACAGGGCCTCTCCGCCTAAGGTGCTGTGAACAGTGAGTGCAACAGCAAGCACACGGGGCACCTGGCAGCACTAGGACCTCATGAATGCTGTCACCACCACCATCATAACCAAACCCAGTCCAGTCCCTCAGCTTACACCGATCAGGATCTTCAGTGACCTGTGAAGTCTCTTTGAATCAAAACATACCATATACCATATACGATGTGTTCTCTATGATGGGAGTGACCCCACTGGGGCTAAAGTCCCTATTCTTGCCCCCAGAACTGTCAGCTTCCTTCCTGCCCTCTCCCACCTAACCGCCTTACGCTCACACCACGCGTGTCCCATGGAGAACCTGACCTCGCTGGAGGTGTAGAATGTGGTCTGTCCATTCTCCCATCAGATGCCTAGTTCTCTTCCTGAGAATGTGTCTGAAAAGAAGAAAGCAAAACAAAACACCACTGCACACCAAGTGGTTGTCAATTGGGAGCTAGTCATCCGGGAGCAGCTGGATTCTAAGGAAATTCCCAAAGAGGAGGACTGTGAAAATCCAAAGGCGAACATTTGCAACTGTTTCAGGGCTGGAGACCAGACCCATAGGTATTTTGAACAAAGGGGTGAATCCTCTTGCTGCCCACAATGTCCCCCAATCACAGTGTGTAGCTTATTTCCTAGATGCAGAAAAATGGTTTTGCCAAAATACAGGTAACTCTAAAGTGCTGCATTTTATATTTTGTGGCATGTGCATTCTTGAATACAGTAATTTCTATGACTGTTTTGACAGTCCAATAACTGCTGACACACATTAATTAACATTTAACCAGTTGGATAGACAAATATAACAGCATGATTAAATATTAAGAAACATTTGCCTGCCAGGATTCTGGACCTCCAGTAAGAGCAAATGCAGGGCCTATTGCCAGATGAGTTAAGGTCATGCTAGGAAAAGGGTCAATGACTAGCCAGCTGCAAGGCCGTATGACAAATGAGTATTTTCTGTGAAGTGTGGCATCCACGCAATACACTCCATTATGCCCACCCAGTGTACGAAGCATGCAGTTGAGTGCTGTCAGAAAAGTAATACTGTGAAAGCCAACTTGTTGACAACTAGAAAAGGGAAAAGGGGTGGGAGTGGGGAAGGACTAGATTGACAGAAAACCAGGTTTATTTTTTATAGACAATGCCACACCGTTGGAATGATCCTTTTAGTCACATTAAGTGAGTTACAGATAACCTACCTCTTATTTTGTCCATTAATAAAATCTTCCTGTCTCAGAAACTCAAATCATTTGCAAATTCTTTTCTTTTAGAGATGTTAGAAATCAACCAGCACTAAAATACTCCAAGTTTCCTGCTCTGAGATGTAGCACATTTCCTGCAATGAAATGTTTGCTCTGAATGGTCACATGCTCGGTTATCTATCCTCCATTTTTTCTCTGGCTTAAGCTGAACATACTGACAAATCTACTGCCTCTCCGACTTGGGTCAGCTTCTGAAGGCATTTCGCATGAGGGTGCACAAACACTTGAGGGCTGGAAAACAGGAGCACCCCTCCCCAAGTGCCTCGTCCCTGCACTAGCGTCAGGAAACTTGCTCTGCTGAAGACAAAGCCAGGGAAAGGCAGGCCTCTAGCCAGACAACTGGGCACACCCTTTTCTCTCGCTACACTTTATAATTCATCAAGTCTATAATATCTAAGTCATATAGAATGATATTCTCGCTTGCAGGTACACTCCAGTGACAATCAGAGCTTGTTAGGAAATTATCAGCAACAGACTATGAATCCAAGTTTGGGAGACACAAGTCACTCAGTCACTCTTCTTTTTCCATCAATATAACTATTTCCTACTCGGTTAAAAATGGGATTTGAACATGGATTGGACAGGACAAATGGCCCTGAAACCTTTACAGAATTACGAAAACAAGGACCAGCGTTTCAACTGCAAATCATCATGTGAGAAACAGCTCAAGTCTTCCTTGACGACCGTGGGCATGCCACCACCGGGGCTGCCCAGGGCTAACGTGAACTTCATAAGCCCCTGTTATGTGGTGCTGATGAGCAGCAGGCTCAGCACCACAGGTGGCAAAGCAGAGTGCTCCCTTTTGGGAAGTCTGTCCACCTGACACCAGCTGGCCACAAGTCCACACTTGTTTTTCAAGATTTTTAGAATTGAGATTGAGAGTTCAATTTCCTAAATCTAAAAAAAAAAAAAAGTTTCTGTGATTCTTAAAAGTTCAGTCCAAGGTCCAAGTGCTTTCCAGAACAATGAAAGTGCAGCACTGACTGGGAATGCACAGAACAGGCAACACACATGCCGACGCCGAATCTTTGGCTTCACTGCGACAGAAGCAGGGCTCAGGGCCAGCGCAGCGCTACTGGGACTAGCAAAGACTGAGCTGCAGGTGCTGGGCAAGGGCGGTTTTTCCAGTGCCACTGCGCTCCACCCTGAGACTCGCCTCAGAAGGCAGCAGTTTGATAGTGAACAGAAATAAAGCCAACCCAAGCCCACTGAAAACCACATTCTCGTTCCTGCACGCACGGAAGGCTAAGTCGTTATTCCCACACCATGTTTGTCTCCCCTCCCCGAAGGGCTGGCTAATCTCAGGCTGCTGTAGCAAGGCACACTGTGTTCTCCTTTCCTTAATGAAGCCAGGAGCAGAGGAAAAGGAAGCACAGGGCAGGCTATAACCCCAAGTCGTTTCCACACCCAACCTAGGCATCAATGTTTTCTTTCTGAGTTGGGTCAGGGACCAGCCACTTGTCAGGTCTCAAAAGGATACCAGTCAAGACCTCCGGTGGCCTTACAGAGGCACAGTCCCAGCTATGACTGGATTAATTCACAGCCATCCACGCTGTATTCCAGGACTGACTTGGAAGAAGTCACCTGACAGAGATAAATGGCATGGAAAGGTGGTTCCTGAGATTCAACAGGCATTGATTTACCCAATTCACAAAAAATGGGGTACAAGAAAACTTTTCAAGTTTTCATTAAGTTTATTAATATTTGGTAATTTTCACTCAAAATACCAATTCCCTTTTCAACTGGAGATGTATGCTTGTGTCCCTGTGCATGTGCATATAATCCCTTAGAGAAACTTTATTTGGTGTCACATTTTTGGTATATAGAAATAACTTTATTTTTATATTGCAGCACAATAGACATACAATCAATATTATTCTCTCCTAAAGTGTGCAATATATAAATTATTCACATTAAAAAAATTAATAACAGAAAGCTTCATATGCAGGAAATATTTAAAAATGTACACCTACTTGTGGGCCTGTTTTTTGACAGGACACACTACGAGCATTATAAATGTGAGTGGCTAGAACAAGACATGGGAACAGAGTACAGGCATGGGCCCATTCCGGGTGCTGGGTGTCCCACCCCAGGAATATGCTCTTCACTGTGGGCGTTGGGACTCCATGTGCTGAACCATACAGTGGATCTGAAAGATACCTCCAGAATAACATTTATTACACTGGCATTTCAAAAATTTCTCTTTCTTCTACTCTCCTTTATAGTGAGGGGGCCTTTTCTCTTTAAAAGCAAGAAGACCTTCAAGTCTGTCTTTCGTGGGAATAGTCTAAGGGAAACAAAATGTTACATTATTTTTATCCAAAAGAAAAAACAAAAGTTTAACAAGTGTTATCTAAGAAAGCTATTAAAAAGCACACTCTAAAAGCTGAAATATATTAGTCATATTAAAATTCTGGAACTAAATTTCATTATAACTTCAAATACCTCTTCCCCATTTCCAACATTCTTTAAAAGACAATAGGTTTTTAAAGCCACATTAAGCTGACAAATAAATTAAGTACAAAAAGTAGAGTCCCATGTACTCTTCAAGCCTCCCACACCCTAAACCCCCTTTTATTAACACCTTGCATTAATGTGGTACAAATGTCACAAATGATGCATTAATCTAAGCCCATATTGCAAAAGGGTTCACTGTGTGGTATGTTCTGTGGGTTTTGATGTGCAGAACATCACGTATTCATCAATACAGGAGCAAACAGATTAGCGTCACTGTCCTAAACACCCCTGTGCCCCGCCTCTTCATCCCTGCTGCCCCTTGTTCTAGCTGGAATCATAAAGTGCATCACCTTCCAGTCTGAAGCCTTCCCTTAGCAATACGCATTTAAGGTTCCTTCATGTCTTGTCTTAGCGTGATAGCTCATTTCCTTATCATTTCCTGAAATGTCTCAATATATCAAAATTTATTTGTCCATTTATCTCCTGAGAGACATCTTGTCTGCTTCCAAGTTTGGTCATTACAAATAAAGTTGCTATAAACACTGACCTGCAATTTTTTGTGTGTGGGCATTCCTTTCAATTTATTCAGTTAGTTCATAATAGCATGATTGCTATTATTATTTTATTTAGTTTTATAAAAAATGGCCAAATTGCAGTAACTCGTTGTATTTGCTTTCCTTAATGACACAGGATGTTGCTCTCTTTTTGACACTTTGGTGAGGTGTCTATTCTTATCTATGACCCACTTCTTATTGTCCAGTTTTAAGTCATTTTTATACTTTGGAAACAAGTCCCTTCTTTAGCAGACAGATGGTTTGCAAAGATTTTCTCCTAGTCTGTAGCTTGTCTTTTTTTCTGTTCAGAGTCTTTGAAGAGTTACTTTTAATGAAGTCAAACCTATAATTTTTTCTTTTACGGATTATGCTTTTAGTGCCTATCTAAAAAGACACTGCCAGTCCCAGGGCCACTGCGATGCTCTGTGTTATCTCGCAGAAGTTCCATGTCCCCGAGAGAGGCGGTGACTGCCCCTCTTGCACCTGCCCAGTATTTGCCATATTCGCCTTGGCTAACCTGGCTAGAAGTTTGTGAATTTGATAGATCTTTACAAGAACCAACTTTGTTTCATTAATTGTTCTCTTCTTAATGTGGAATTCATTTGCTCTCTTTTTTTCTTTTTCAACTTTACATAAAGTAGAAACTTACCGATTTTTGTATTTTTCTTCTTTATAATATATGCAAGGGATGCTATAAGTTTCTCAACACTACTTTAGATGCACTCCCACAAATAAGCTCAGATGCTGCATTTTCATTTTCATTGAGTTCAAAATATTTTTAATTCTACTTAAGACTTGTTGATATATACATTTTTTTAAGTAAGAAGTGTGTTATTTAATCTCCCAATATTTTGACATTTTCTACACACCTTTCTATTATTGAATTCTAATTAAATGTTATTGTGATCTAACATACTACTTGTTATGATTTCTGTTATTTGACATTAATACCTCAATACGCTTTTAAAAATTTGCTTCAGAATCTGAAAGCAAAGCTGTTCATTTATAAAGGTTTATAATTTACTCATGAAAGGTGGTGCTTTATAAATGCAAACCAGGCATTTAGTAACACTAGACAGTGTCGTTAATTTAAAAGTGGCCATGCTTAAATGGGACCAGTGTCTAATTTTCAGAAATAGTAAGATAAAAGTCCTTTGCTACCTCAAATGCCCTAAAACAAAGTTGTTTCTTTAAGGAAAGAGAGACGGGGAGGTAAAAAGAGAAGGAAGGAAGGAAGGAAGACAACTTCCTTTTCTAAAAAAAAAAAACAAAAAAAACAAAAAAAACCCTACTCATTTGTACACAGAAAGAAAACTGGGTGACTTGAACCAGTGAAATTTAGTGGAAGCTCGGCAGACTGGCAGCTGCTCACAGCGAGGGCTGCAGGCAGGCACGGAGCCGCTGCCTTCCTCCCACCCTGGGCCGCCGGAGGGCCCACACCCACACCACACCCAAAATACGCCCGAGCCCAGAAAACAGCTACCACACAAACGGGACTCGATTACTTCAGAGCCTTCTAAATTACGCAGGCCAGAGTCACTAGTCTGTGGAACTGATCTGTCATAGGAACTGGTAACAGACATCACCTGGAAGGAGGTGTCATCATTGCGTCTGTGGCTGTCATACATACCTGAGCATAACATGCTTCTTCTATGGCTAGCCCTGTTACTAAGTCCACCTGAGGATAAAAACAGAATTCATTTCAGTAGGAATGATTGTTAAAATATGGTATACTCAATATAAATTCAAACTTAATAACCCCGGAGTTGGTCCAACAAAATCAAGGGTGTGACCCGCCTGAAACCAGGCTGCCTGGATTTAACTTCTACCTCCATCATCAGCAAAATTATCAGGAAATTAGGTAACCTCGCTGTGAGCAAGAGGGAGCTAGATACTTACCAAGTACAAGTAGTGTAAAGGTAGAATGAATGATAAAATGTATTAAAAGGTTTACAAAGTATTTGATAATATATATATATACATATATGCATACATACACAAGATGTTACAAAGTACTTAATATCACACATTGTATTATATATATTGTATATGTATATTATAGACTGTAACACGTAAGAACCATATAAGGTATTTGTAAGAATTTTCAAAACCAAAACCTGTAAATTTAAAAAACTGCATTTACTGCTAACAAATTCAGTCTCTCTCTTTTTAATGCTATGAAGCCCAAAAAGATACAGTGGCTCTAGGCCTGTAAGAAAGAAGTATCTTTCCTCAAAATTCCCATAACTTAACCAAAATTACAAGTCCAATGCAACAGAGTGCTTACATTGCTACTGTGTTCTGCCTTCCCTTCCCCTGGCCTGACCCTATGAAGACACAGTCCAAGTAACCTCAGCACACCCTACTGACTTGCCTTGTTCACATGTCTCCACACAGAAAGCATCTGCAGAAGATAAAGGTGGAGACCTGGGCTAAGCTCAGAGAAGAGCTGTTCTCTTAATTTTCTCTAAGATGATGTTGGTGCTGAGTTCACACTTAATGTGTTTTTTTCTTTTTACTTTTGGTTTTCTATGAAATACCAGCTAAAAAAAATCTAGTAACTCAATGGCAAAAATGATAAGTATAATTATGTTTATAAAGAATGAGAGAAATGACCAAATTCTGTAATTATGATATTGAGTCAACAACTATAAGCAGAATGAAATCAATGATGTTATGATTGTAAAAGCAACTCTGCAGCATTCAGTTATAGTAGCATTGAAATAATCACATTACAGAACATAAGAAAAAAAGGTAGATTATCATAGACTCTACATATTGCCAACTTAAACTTAAGCTCCCAATTCCATCAATAACTTTAAACATTAAGGCACTCACCTCCATCCCTTGATTAATTGCTAATTTTGCCACTCTCATTGCAACAGGTCCCTAAAATTCAAATTAAAGAAACAGATTTCAATTATTACTTATGTCAATTATGTTTTACAGCTCAGTGAAATTCAGAAACTCCCATTCTTGGATCCATGGCATAGAAGCAATAATAACTGTGATGGAAACTTTCTTTTAGGAGTCTTTAAGGTCTCTCTCTCACATCAGTAAGTGACTGAGTCCATGGAAGCTATGCTGGCAAATGTAGATGCTTAAAGGTGAGCAGGTGAAATGTGCCTAGTAGAGGGCTTGCTTTCTTCACCATATCTCCACAGAAGTAGGGAAAAGGAGACAAAGTACTTGGCACTAATACCACCCCCCATTATTGGTATAACACAAGGCTGGGGTACAAATGAGGCTGACATTACTGATGAACATGGGCTTCAGATATGAATCTCTCCTCGATGGTCACGTTTAATAATGTATCTTCTGGAAGTGTTCCCATATCACACAGATGTTTAAAATCTAACTTAGTCCTGCCGGTTGTGTGAGGGTCACTGAAGGAAAATCTGAGTGTCCTCTATCAGAAGTAAAATATTATGTCTGTCTTCAAAAGCCACAATTCAACTGAAGGAATTCAGTTATTTGACCATGTTTTAAAAATTGTTTGTGTGATGAATTAGAAATCAAAGCATATTTTAAAATGTCTTTTGGATTAAAATGCGAGTTAGATTCTAATGGGCAATAGCTGAATGAATACATATGTATGATCAAATAGAAAAATGTCATTTTTCCTTTCAGAGTTTCAATGCTCAACTTGAAATTATTTAAGTGTGCTTCCTTGAGTCCCATGTTGAACCATCTTTGATAGAGAGGCAATTCTACAATTTTCTTAGACAAATGTCTTAGTTTTAATTCTACCATTCTCTTTTAAACAATGCTCTCTTGTGTGAAAATCTCTTGATCATCAGCTGATCCAGAGAATATGCCTGTAACACTTCCATATACACCCAAGTCTCCAAGTTCCTGGTGAAAATGTAGATGAAGATTCAGGGATCTGAGGGAGGCCTGGAACTCTGCTTACACACTAACCAGGACACCCAGTGGCCAGTGCATAAACCACACCTTGAGCAGCAAGTTTTATTTAGCACACTGGAAAAATGAAAATGCTATTAGATACAATGCATGGTTCAATAAGCTTCTCTTCTAAGACATAAGACCTAGTCTTATGTATATTCATTTTATGGAAGCTTTCTAGGTTTTTTTGAAGAGTAATCATTCAATGACAGTATGAAAACTATAAAAATAAAGTACCTTAAAGTTCACTTTGTAACTTCTGTATATATTTGTTATATTAATCTTGTTGCAAATGGCAAGGTTAATCCTTTTTCATAAGTGAGTGGTATTCCTTTGTACATATGTACCATATCTCCTCAACCCACTCATCTGTCTTTGAATCTTAGATTCTTTCCATATTTTGGCTACTGTAAACAGTGCTGCAATGAACACAGGCATGCATATATCCCTTTGAGTTAGTGTTTTAGATCCTTTGGGTAAATAAGTACAAGAGGGACTGATGTATCCTATGGTAATCTATTTTCCTGTTTCAAGAAACCAATTTCCATCTGCTTTCCATAAGGGCTGGAAAGACTGCATTTGTACTAAGTGTATAAAAGCTGCTTTTTTTGTACGCCCTCACTAACACTTGTTACTTCTTGTCTTTTTTATATGAGCCATTCTCATGGGTGGGAGGTGGTTATCTCATTGTGGTTTTGATTTGCATTTCCCTGATAATAAGTGATGATGAATATGTTTTTGTATGCCTGTTGGCCAACTCTTCTGCCCATGTTTTGATTGGGTTATCTGTTTTCTTTTTGTATGAGATTTCTGTGTATATTGGATATTAGCTCCTTGTCAGATGTATGATTTACAAATATTGTTTTCCCACTCAGTAGAGTGAGTTTTTGTTGTAATGGTAGTTTCTTTTGCTATGCAGTTTTTACTATGATGTAGTCCCATTTGCTTTTGCTTTTGTTTCCTTTGTCATTCGAGTTGTTTCTAAAGATATCCTTAAAATGAATTTTGTAGTTTTGAATATATTTTCTTCTATTTTTCTATGGTTTTAGGCATTATATCCAATTTTTTGTTTAACTTCTGTGTATGTGTAATATAGTGGTAGTTCCATTCTTCTGCATGTGGCAGTCCAATTTTGCCAACACTATTTGCTCTTGAACACGTATATGACTTGACTCCTTTTTCTATTGTATAACCTGACACTTTTATCATAAAGTATTCGCCCATATAAGTGTGGGCTTATTTCTGGGTTCGCAATTCTATTCTTTTGCTTTCTTTTGTGTTCTTAATTCATAATCATGCTTTTATTATAGCTTTGTAGTATAGTTTAATGTCTGGGAATGTTATAAACCTTTTTTTGACAGAATTGCTTTAATTATTTGGGGTCTTTTGAGAAATTAAACAAAAAAATGAATTCTAGTAATATTTGTCCTATTTCTTCAAAGAACTTCATGGAAACCTTGATAAGGATTACATTGAATCTGTAATTTTTCCAATGCAGTAGTATCTTTCCATTTCTTTGTCGTCTGTGTCTTTCAATAATATCTTTCAGTTTCCATTGTAGAGGTCTTCTATTTCCATGAGGTACTTAATTCTTTGTGATACCATTATACATTGTTTTCCTGATTTTATACTCTTCTAGTTCACTGTTGGCATTGTATATAGTAATGCAATCAATTTTTGTATGCTGATTTTGCAGCCCATCATGTCACTGTACTTATTTATTTTTTCTAATAGTTTTTTTACTGGAGTTTTCATTGTATATAATAATCAGATGTGCAAATCACAGTTTTACTTCTTTCCAACTTGGATTTCTTTTATATTATCTTCCTGTCTAAGTGTTCTAGTCAGGAATCCAATACTATGTTGAATGGTAGTAATGAAAATGGACATCTTTGTATCTGAGCTTTGAGGATAAACTTTACATTTTTCACTATTTAGTATTTTGTTAGTTGAGGGTTTGCTATATATGGCCCTTCTTATACTGAGGTTATGTTCCTTCTATCCTTCTTTTACTGAGAGTTTCATCATAAACGAATGCTGAATCCTGTGAAATGGTATCTCTGTATCTATTAATATGATCTTAAGACTTTTATCTTCTATTTTATGGATGTGGTGAATTATACTGATTAACACATATTGCACCATCCTTCCCTCATTGAGATAAATCCCACCTGAGCACGATGTGCAATCCTTTTAATGTATTACTGAATTTGGTTTGCTAGGACTTTTGTTGAGGATGTTTACATCTGTGTTCATTAGGGACATTGGCTTGCAGTTTTCTGATTGTTTAAAATTTGTTTTTGTGATGTCTGTGTGGTATTGATGTGGAGTAATATTAACCTCATAAAGTATGTTTGGAAACAATCTTCTTCCTCAATGTTTGGAAGTGTCTGCGGGTAAGTCTAGTTAGTCTTTGAAAGGTTGATAGAACTTACTAATGAAACAATCTGGTCCTGGGTTTCATTTTTTTAGGAGACTTTTGACCATTGTTTCAATGCCCATGCTTGTAATTAGTCTGCTGAGGTTTTCTATTTCTTCCTGATTCTTGGTTGTTTATTTCTAAGAATTGGTCTGTTTCTTCTATTCAGTTCATTGTTATAAAGATGTTCATATGGTAGGCTAATTATCCTCTGTATTTTTGACCTGTCCAACATAACTTCATTTTTGTTTCTGAGTCTACCTTTTTTTCTTACTCACCAGGACTTTGTCCATTTAATTTTTTCAAAGAACTAGTTTTTTATTTTGTTGATCTTTTGGACTTTTTTATTTCTATTTTATTTTTCATTTATTTCCACTCTAATTTTTATTATTTCCTCTCTTCTGCTGCCTTTGGCTTTGTCTACTCTTCTTTTACTAGTTCACTAAGGTGTAAGGTTAGATTATTTGAATCATCCTGGTTGCTTCCTGTGCTGTTAAATACTGTCCTCTCGGTGCTGCTTTTGCTGTCTCCCAAGAGTCTGGTAACTTGTTTTCATTTGCCTCAGGTAGTTCTTAATTTCTCCTTTGATTTCCTCATTATTCCAACAGTCATTCAGTAATATGCTGCTCATTCCCCACATATTTTGAGTTTCCCCACTTTATTTTGTGGCTGATTTCTAGTTTGGTAACACTGTGATCAAGGAAGCTACCTGATGTATTTTAAAACTTCCTGAATATATTGACACTTGTTTACGTGGTTTATCCTTGAGAATGTTCCATGTGTACCTGAACAGAATGTGTATTTTCTGCTTTTAGGGTGCAATGCCCAACATATAATTTATTAAACCATGCGGCCTAATTCCTCACTTAATGCTACTGCTCTCTTATTTATTTTCTACCTGGTCTATCTGTTCACTGATGAAAGGGGAGTGTTGCAGTCCTTCTACTACTATGTCAATGACTATCTGGGTTTGTCAATAGTTGCTTTACACATTTTGATATGTAATATTTAGTTTTACATATTTTGATGCACATGTGACATATATGTGATGAGTATTATGTCTTTCTGATGTACTGATACTTTAATCATCATATACTGTCCATCTCTATCTCTTTTTATCCTTTTTTTTCGTTAAAAGTCTATTGTATTGACACAAGTGTGGTGGTCCCAGCTCTTTTTAGGGTTCCACTTGCGGTATGATTGTTTCCCCACCATCTGCCTTAAGACTATGTTTATCTTTTGGGCTTCGATAGGTTTCCTGGCAACAACATAGTTGAGTTTTGTTTTCTTGCCTTCTAACTGATGAGTTTAGTACATTTACATTTAGGGTGAGTACAGATATTAGGACCTGTAACTGCTATTTTTCTGGTTCTATTTATTTCTTTGTTCAAATTTTGTGAATTTTCTCTTTGATTCAGTTAAGAGCGCTCTTTCAACATTTCTGGTAGAGGAGGTCTGACACCAAAGTTTTATGCCATTTTGTTGTAAAACAGTTATTTTGTTAAGCTGTGATTTCACCTGACTACATGTACCTTAAATCTCTCTAGGCAGAAATTTCCCTGGAATTTGGGGAAATATTAATGCCAAAGTTACAGTGAATTTCCTTTTTCTACTTCTTTTAAAGTAATAAAAAGCTTTTCTATGTGTTCTCTCTATATATAAATTCAGTATAAGACTCTCTTACACTATGAGAGATAAATTACAGAAAATTATAGCTCACATATTCGTTGAGACAGAGTGGGCAGTATCCACACCAGTAATGTGCTTCAGAAACCATGGAACTGTGATGCTTCATTTGACAGTTGTCAAGGCAAGGCACCTCACAGCAGACTTGGGCCTTAAGGTTTGGCAACAAATAACTCCAAGAATACTTTTTGAAATTGGATGCAAACCTCTAAACAAATACGAATGGAATATGTATTTTTCTGGGTATAAATGCCAAAAGGATCCCTGGCCCCAAACAGGTTACAGATCCTATAGGAATTAAATGACTCCAAGTTAGCGTGTAAGTTATTTTAACTCCTGAAATGATTAGGTCACAAAACTTTAAACTCCATGAGGGATTAAAATAGAACAAAAGAATATTTTCCCTCTCAAGTTAAAATCTTTTAATCCAGGAGATTACCTGTGTGGAAATAAATGAAAACCACCCAAATGATGAAAGAAAAGCCTATTAATTAAAAACTTGATGTAGCAAGGGAGTTAGGCACCATCACTGTGGCTGGCAGAGAGTCAAAGAGGTTTTGCAGAGCTTTTTACATTTGTTGCTGAGGGTCAGGTGTTCTGTTGGGCTCAGCATTCTACTGTCCTCTATCAAGTGGCCATTATTCATCTGCATATTCAATCCACACCTGCACATCTCTAGGTAAAACTTTTCTCAGAGATACTGAAAAACATGCATGAAGAATAGTTTCATTGAGACTACAAGTACATCTGGTAGAATGCCAGAATCCTCTGCCCTTGGGAGGGTGCATTACTTAAAAAATGCAGATGCTAAGGGGCTAGAACTCCACGAAAGTCATTCTTGGCCACCTGGTATTTTCCACAGACCTTTCCCATTATAAAATCACACAAAAGAAGCAAAGGGAGTGAGGAAAATAAGGACAAGGAAAGAAAAGGCATCAAATCAAAAGCAACTGTGTCAGCAGCCATCTATCACTTTGTGACCTGGATCGCGTCTGAAGTACTTTATATCCTAAGATGACAGTTTGGTTTTATTTACAGATGCTTGTATAATCAAGTGAGTATTTTCACTTCTGCCTTAATTCATGGTCAATTTTAGCCTTCTACCTCCTAGCCCAATGACTAACTGGCCCTCAGATTATCTGGATTTTCATCCTGAAGGCTTTTTATGTGCCTATGTGACTACTTAATTTCTAGTTTTACAGACACTATATACTTCTCTACTTGGAAGCAAAAAAGGAAAACAAAGAAGTGAGTTAGTAGTACCTTTTTCTTAAAGGGCTGTAGATCATAAATATTTTAAAACTCTGTGGATGTTATCATCACAACTGCTCAACCTTGCAGTGCCAGCCCAAAAGTAGTCACACACTCTACAAGAACAAATGGGCATGACTGTTCTAATACAACTCTACTTTTGGACCCTTAAACATAAATTCTATAATGTAATTTTCATGTGCCATAAAATATCTTCCTTCTTTTGATTTTTCAGACCATGAAAAGTGTGAAAATTACTATGGGAAATAGCATGGAGGTACCTAAAAATTTTAAAAATAAAACTGCCATAAGATACAGCAATCTACTTCTGGATTTGCAATCAAAGGATATGAAAACAGGATACTGAAGAAATAGATACACTCCTATGTTCACTGTAGACTTAATGACAGTAGCCATGATGTGGAGCAATTTAAGTGTACATCAGCAGATGAAAGCCCAAAAAACATGTGGTATATTACCAATAAAATGTTAGGCATAATGAATGAGGAAATCCTGCTATTTTTAATCCCCTCCCAATATACTTTAACCTATAATTTCAGAAGAAAGGGATAGTTGAAAAATATACCTGAAACAATAAAGAAAACCTTAAAACAGAGGAGTCTTCATCTCCCAGGACAAAGAAAGTGAAGGAAAAGGTACATAGATGGGACTACATCAAATTTAAAAGCTTCTGGGGCACAATAGGTTAAAGTACAACATCATAGAGCTGTCTGCAGCTATTGCAGCATGAGTCTGATCCCCAGGCCAGAGAGGTGAACCTACATGGAGTGGCAGGCCCCTCCTGTCTCGCCCGCTGCTCCCCTCAGCAGTGTATTTCAGTACATCAGCCTGTTCTGCTCCCCACTCTCTCTGGTGGATCCTCTCACCCTCCTGCACCTCTAGCCTATATCCCAGTTCTATATGAATAACTAAATAAATCGTTAAAAAAATGTAAAAGCTTCTGTACAGCCAGAGACATTAGCCGAAACAAAGAGACGCTCTACTAAAAAGAGACGCTCTACTAACAATTTTTGTATGCCAACAACTGATAAGGGACTGATCACAAAGCTCTACAGAGAGTTGATGCAACCCAATAAAAAACAGTCCAGTCAAAAACTGGACCAAAGAGCTAAAAAGACACTTCTCCAAAGAGGAAATGTAAATGGCCAACAGGTATATGAAAAGATTTTTAACATCCTGATAATCAGGGAAATGCAAATCAAAACCACAATGAGACACCACATATTAAAAAAAAAAAAACAGTGAAAATAACACACATTAAAAAAACTAGCAATAACAAATGTTGGCGGGGATGTAGAGAAAAAGGAACTCTCCCACACTGCCAGTGGAAATGCAAACTAGTACAATCACAATGTAAAGCTGTTTGGAGGTTTCTCAAACTGCTAAAAAGGGAGCTTCCATATGACCCGGCCCAAAAGACACAAAAACATTAATTCAAAGGATACCTGCACCCCCATGTTTACTGCAGCACCATCTATAATAGGTAAGACATAGAAACAACCCAAACACCCAAAAATAGATAGCTGGGTCAAGAAGATGTGATACATCTACACAGTGGAATACTATTCAGCAATCAAAATAGATAATCACATGCCATTTGCAGCAATGTGGACAGAGGTAGAAAGGATTATGCTTAATGAAATAAGTAAGAAGGAAAAAGAAAAGTATCCAGATAGTTTCATTTATAGGAAGTATATAGGAGAATCAAATAAGGGATAAAGGGAAAAAATAATAACAACAACAAAAAATACCCTGGTAACTATAAATCAGAGACAATCTACAGGGGAGAAGGAGGGAAAGGAATCAGAACAAGGGAGGGAAGAGCACAGGAGACCATGGCAATCAATGGCGCACAGGTGAATTGGTGGTGGGAATTGTATGGGGACTACATCTGAGAGGAAAACGCATATACCGCACAAAAATGAACAATGATGATGTAAAAATACATAAAAATAAATTATTTTCAAAAACAGTGGGGGGTGGTAAATGTACCAGACCATGATGATGGCACACGGGTGATTTGGTGATGGGAAGCCCAAGGGGAGTACAACTGAGATGGAAAAAAAGGCACAAAATGATGTAATAATAAACTAGGAAAAAAAAAAAAAAACTAGGAAAAAAATAAATTATTTTAACAAATAAATAAAAATATTTTACCACTAAAAAATATAAAATAGGAGTCCTGAGGCGCTATTATTATTAATAAGGAAGTTGTGTGGGAATAAATATATAATGAGTTTCAGATTTTTTGAAGGATAAATGTGAGGAAATATATTACATAGAAAGAAGTTAAACAACACCTACATCATCATAAAACATAATGAGACAAATGTCTGTTTCCACTTATCCTAAATGATGCTACTGCAAGGAAAGCACACTTAAGACCATGGTTGTCTTATTAGAAAGTGTGCTTGAATGTGGGGTGATAGAGATGACAAATGTCCAGTGCTGTTTCTCTCCACACACTGACTCAAGTGAAAGAGATCAGTTGACAACTTAAATTGCTGTATGTTCTGTTCCAAGTAACACTCACATAATGCTATCAAAGTCAGGCTACTACTTGGCCCTCAGATTATCTGGATTTTCATCCTGAAGGCTTTTTATGTGCCTATGTGAATAGCTAATTTCTAGTTTTACAGTCACTATATACTTCTCTACTTGGAAGCAAAAAAGGAAAACAAAGAAGTGAGTCAATAATACCTGAGGTAAAAACTCTCTGGCGAGGTCCAAAGCCTTTCTGTAGGCAGCATCGCCATTCTGGTTCTGTTCTAGAACGTGGCTGATCAAGCCCACTTCCTTGGCCTCTTGGCCATCGAGCACACGTGCAGAGAAGATGAGCTCTTTGGCTAGGGACATCCCAATGGCACGTGGCAGTCGCTGTGTTCCCCCTGCAGATCAGATGAGAGAGAAAGAAAACACATGATGACCTGATGTCCAATAGTTTTAATGTTTCCGTATTTCATTTCTTCACTTACAAAAAATTAACCAGGTCCAAAAATTTGTATAGCAAAATTAGTAGCTAGAAAACCACTTCCAAGCAAAATCTGATTTCTTAATTCATTTATAAGATTAATAACTTGAGAATCTTACATCAGTAAGTGATTTTGCCCTGAATACTCATGTGACATAGCAGGTATGTTCATTAACCCAATACACAATCTGCATCAGGAGAGGCTGAGTGCTGGGCAAGCTGTACTGCCCATTAGCCCATTTACCCATACACCAAGCGTGGTATCCTTCTTTTAGCTTAAAGTTTATCAAAATCTGAGAAATCAGTACATAGACGCATTTATGATAAATGAATTGTAAACTAAGTTTAATAAACAGAAAATTACTCATGAAAAAGGCTATGTCCTGATAGTCTTTATTCTTTTAGTGCAAGTACTAATGGTCCTTCAATAAATTATTCTACTAGATCCATTTTCTATGACATCTTTCAATGCTGAGTCTGATAAAATGATGACGTTGGTAAAAGCAGGTAGTGGAGCACTAGCTTCGATTTCTACCAGTAAGAAGAGGAAATGGCTGTAACATTAGGATTTATCTAAATCTTTCCATTAAAATGGTTCCTGTGTTGCAAAAGGCTAGAGAAGCAGCTGGCTGCTAGGGTTCAGGGGAAGAAAAACAAGTTGGTGGCCTGCTATCCCAACAAGCTCACTCTGTGTGTTTGGCTCAGAAAGCATAAACATTTTTCTTCTGTATTCATTACCAACACTTAAAAAGAGAGTGCGTTGTTTCATACAAAAGCCACTTTCTACAGTTGCACTGTACTCTGCCACATATTCCACCACTACTAAATAATGCTCTATCAATTAAGAACTTTAACTGTTAAATAAGTTTAAAAGGAAAGTAAAATTCTTTTGTTTCCACATGTCTATCAAAAGTGGGAAAATTAAAGAAAAAAATGAGATAGCAAGATATAAGAAAGTCTATTTTCTTTCCAAAGTAATTCTGCATTGGAAAGACAAAGCTTAAGGCACTATAACTAGGCAACCATATCAAGCACCATAACCAGTATTTAGAAAATATGAAGTGATGGAAACAAAAAGAACCTCAATGAATTAAAAAGGGATTAACACGTTTGACCTAACATAATGACAGTTGATTAGGACACATATAAGTAATTTTTACCACAGTAGCTCTATTTATTCACGTAGCTCATGAAAACTTTTATGAGATCAAAGAATTTGTGGTACTGTATTAAAAATAAGCACATTAGGAAATAACTTTTGTATTGTGAAAAGTTTAATGCATATCGGTCAAGTTTAACACACATACCCTCGGTGATCATACTCTGTAATGAACAGATATGTTTTCCAAGTCCATAAAGCTTAAGTCCATTCATCCTATCACGCACAGTATCAGTCTTCAGAAATGAGGACTTGATAAAAACTTAATGAATGAAGGAGCAGTTAGTTATGAAACTTCACACCATGCTCCACAAGCTGGGTGATAGAGTGAACAGCTTTTAGAGAACACAGCATGAAGCAGGTGCTGAAGGTGGCCTGTGCTCTGTTAAAAAAAAAATAATGAATTACAGGATTTGAGGAAAATCCTTCAACTTGGCTCCACAACTCAAACTACCTAAGACTGGCCTTTAAGAACCTCACATAAGTATAATCAAAAGACTTTATCCTTTCGTGACTGGTTTATTTCATTGAGCACATCTTCAGGTTCATTCATGTTGTATGTTGTAGAGAATACCACAATTTCCCTCCTTTGTAAGACTGAATAATCTTCCACCTTACACCACATTTTGTATATCCACTCATCTACTGATGGACAGACATTTGGGCTGCTGCTATCTTTTAGCTACTGGAAATAATGCTGCTTAAGAATATGCGTATACATATTCTATCTCTGTATGCCCCTTTTGCAACTGTTGAGGGTAGAAACCCAGAGCTGGAATTGCTAGATCATATAGCAAATTCTATGGTTATTGTATGTCTTGTGAGGATTCCCCATACTGTTTTCCACAGCAGCTACACCATTTTACATTCTCATCAGCAGACTACAGAGTTTTAATTTCCCCAAATTCTCACCAACACCTGCTAATCCCTAGATGTGCAGCCATCTTAATGGATATAAAGTGGTATCTCATTAAGGCTTTCATTTGATTTCCCCCAACAACTAGTGATGTTGAGAATATTTTCAAGTGCTTATGGTCATTTGGAGAAAAGTCCATTTCCTTTGTGTATGTCTGAATGTTAGTTGTTAATAGGAGTCCATATTCTGGATGGTAATTCTTTATCGTGATTTGAAATATTTTCTTTCATTTTATAACTGCCATTTTATACTGCTGATAGTATCCTTTTGATGCACAAAACATTTAAAATGTTGATTTTTTTCTCTTTTTCCCTACTTTTTGGTGTTAAATCCAAGAAATCACCATCAAGTCCAATGTCATAAAGTTTTTCCACTGTCTTCTAAGAATCTTAGGCACTGATTTTTGGTCACTCTAGGTAATTTCTACCTAAAGTGTAAGAGGAGGTAAATTTTATTCTTTTGCATGTGGAAATTCAGTTTTTAACACCATTTGTTTGAAAGGATATTCTTAAAGAGCAATAATAATTAATGATTTAATTCATCTATTCTGATTGAAATTTTGCCTTTAGAAAATCAGTTTGCTGAGAAATTTTCTGGCCCGATTTCCTTTGCTGCAAATACTTCACAGAAATCAAAGACAGATGGTCTGAACTATATTTTTACATTTGTGGAACTACAGGTAATTACCCTCCTTCATTGTTAGACAAATAAAACTCATGATTTCAACTTTAGTTTGCCTTTTTAAAATTAATATTCATCATGTGAATAAAGAGCTGTACAAATGAAAGTTACTCAGCTGTAGTGTAATGCAATAAAAATTTAACGTGATTGATGTGACATCTCAGATTTTACAAATATCTCAGAAATAGTTACCACCTTAAATAGAAAAGTATCATGCCAACATTCTATTCCAGTTTGAAAGTATTTGCTTATGAACAGCTACTTTCCACTGTGAATTTAAAAATTAACACGACTGCAGTTAGGAGAATCAGATTTAGTGAATCAGGTTTACCTTACCTGAGAAATAAACTCTATCACTTGGCCTAGAGTGGAAGAAAAGGACTCAGGTTTTAAGATTCAAATACAGAGTATTAGAGATAATAAATTTCAATAGCTTATGTTTAAGGTAAAAACAGTCTGTATTTTCTTACATCAGGCTTGCTTTACTAGATTACACAGTCTGCATAGTTCACTTCATCATTAGAGTTCAGGATCATTCCAGATAAAACTCTACATAAAGTCCTGGGATTGACAAAATTAAGCCGTAAAATTAAAAATAGGGTTGTCCCAAAAGGAATTAATGTGGTTTCACTCTGACAGCAGCCCCAACACATTTAAGACTCCATTCAAATTCACCTACCCCAAATTTCAACATGAGCCCTCACTTCGAGTCCAGTCATGCGCTACACAATTGCCCCTGGGATGGCATGGAAGTCACTCTACCAGAAAGGAAACTGAGGCTCAGAGTTTTTAGAACTTATCTAAAGACAGAAGATTAAGTTGGAGAAGTAGGGTTCAAACCCACCTCTGCCTGATTTTTATCTGTTATGTCTTCAGAAAGTGAAGAACAATTTGCAAAATGAATGCATATCTTAAGCTTACTTTGCAAAACAAAAGGTATGTGCATGGCATATATAAATAGACACAAAATATAACTATGTGCTAGTCCAGAGAGCAGCTGGGGGCAGCTGATAAGTAAAACCCACTTTCTTCCATTTTGTCTTGCTAAGTTCTAAAAATGTTCTGCAGTATGTAGGCAATATGACATTGCAGTAGGACTAGAGTGTTATAGCAGTTTCGAAGACCACAGTACAGGGAGACAAAGAGCCACCCACTAAAACAAGCACCCCACGCCACTTCCTATGTTCTACAGCGCTTCAGGAAGGCTTGCTTCTTGGACTGTAGTGGGAATCAAAGTATCAGCAAGTAAGGATGCCTCATGTGAGACAATACTGCAGTACTCCTCCAAAATCAAGAAACAGAACACTAGCTGAGAAACTCTGAGACTCATAAGGCTCCTACTCAAAATCTAGCACCTTCAACTGTTTCCAGGAACAGGAAATTTAGAGCAAAATTTGCGCTCTCTCTCTCTCTCTCTCTCTCTCTCTCTCTCACACACACACACACACACACACACACACAAATACAACCATCTCTGAGTCACTTCATCACCTACCAGAAAAGGGCACTCTGTGGTGCTCCATGAATCCGCATGATTGTGTGTCAGAGTAACGAGCAAACACAAACTTCTGCAGAACTCAACGCAGGAATCTGTGTTACTAGACTATGAAGATAAGGAAGCATCTCAGCTGCTGATACTCCCTCTTCTTGTATGGAAATGTTCAACTGATTTCTAAAACTTGTTGCCTAAACTCTTCTGACAAGGAGATTCCAATTTAGTGGCTTGAGGTGGAACCTAAGTTCTTGCCACATGTCTTGCCATTCAAGACATCAAGATATTAAATGAGGTTTGCTGACTCACTGCTATAAAACAAGAGGTGGTAATGGTTATTTAAAATACAGCAACAGAATATTTATAACTAAATGAAGAGTCAGAAGATGCACCCCAAATGCTTTATACTTATTTTCGGGACCATTTAGAACTAATTTCCAAGATACCAGTGCATTGTTTTATTCATTCAACAAATACTTAGCCAACACCATGAAATTAACAAAGTCATACCTACTGCAGTTTACACTTCCCAGGAAAGCCCAGGATAAGCAGAGCACAGGAGAGTAGAGACTGAGTGTGCATCGAGCACTGTTTACAGGAGGAACTTGAGATGACACTGGTGCAAGACCAGAGAAGTGAGACTCACATGGTACACTATTTTGTGACTCC